TGTTGGGTTGACGGTTGGACTCGATGATCTTAGAGGTCTTTTCCAACCTCAATGATTCTATGATTCTATGATTCTAAATCTGGATGCTTTTATTCATTACATCATTGAAAACAGCCCTTTCACCTCCAACCCTGGTGTGCTTCCGACCACAAAGCAGCAGCCGTGGGATCTGAATGCATCCCCAGACCAGATTCACCCACTCCAGTTTCAGCCAGGTTACTCTAGGAGAGCATCCATCTCCCCAGCGTGGCTGAGCTGGAGGCTGCTGAGCCCAGGGAAGGAACCAGCACTGCCTCCCGCCAGCTGGTTCCCAACGGGAGGACCCAACGCCCCAAGAGCCACCCACCAGCCCCTGGCCACCACGCAAGGACATGAGTGGTACTCACTGGCTTTCTCCGTTCGTGCAAACTGCCCCGCTATCAACCACGACAGGGCCGTGACCACCGCAAGTGCTCCTATGTGCAAGAAAGGGGCTGTGGCCTGCAGGACACAAGAACAGGAGAGAAAAAATGATGACAAACACCCCAGCACCTTGAAAATTCATTGCTCTTGCAGGCTCCATAGTGCATCAGACCACTCTGTTTCCAGTTAGATTTCACACCATTCCTAGATCAGGCTCCTGCATCTGTTTTGGCCATCTCTTCTTCCAAACCCTACCGCTGCCTTTGGATGAGGGTGGTGAGACACTGGCCCAGGTTGCCCAGAGAGGTGGTGGATGCCCCATCCCTGGAAACATTCCAGGTCAGGCTGGACGGGGCTCTGAGCAACCTGATCTAGTTGAAGATGTCCCTGCCCACGGCAGGGGGGTTGGACTAGGTGATCTTCAAAGGTCCCTTCCAACCCAAACCATTCTGTGATTCTATGAACATACTGAACTGTGTATCACCATGGGGTATCACCATGAGAGAAAGTTTGAGAGGGATCCTCTGAGTCATGCTTTTGTTCTCCAATTACTTGCCTAAATCTTTAAAAAACAAGAAGAGGGAAGCAATTCTGAGAAATGTTAGCCATTTGTGTGAATGTTATTTTTTCCCCCCTGGATTCGTGTGTATTTGCCTACTCCTAAATATACAGCAGTGATCACCAGTAAAACCTCTCAAGCCTTTCATGGGCAAAATATTTTTTGGGCCCCTTTTTGAGGAAGAGGAAAAAAAGGAATAGAAAGCAGGTCTATCAAGAATTTAACAGTTTGTAACTAGTTTCCTCTAACACTTATATAGCCCTGCAGCATACCACAAGTCTTTCTTAAAACAGGACCAGAGCACAGAAGTTGCATTCTTTTTTAGATATATTTAAATTTATATGCAACGTAAAACCAAACCCAGAGTACTCCTCCCATAGGACCGGGAAGAGCATGATGCTCCAGGCCTGGACACCAACATCCAGAGCATTGCCAGCCAAACCAAGTGGAGGAATTGCCCTCTCCCTCCAGCAACTCTGAGTCACGCTCAGCCTCAGTACTTTTTCCACCTCTAACTCTGTAGCCAAGCCCTGGTTTGAGTTTAAAGGAAAGAGCCCAGGAGATGGAGACAAAGTCACATGGTGGCCTTGAGAACTCCATGGGAGTTTTGCTGCAAATTTTCTCATTGCCAAAATTTCAATTTTGGGAGTGATAAACATCAAGACAGGGTTTTATACAGTAGAAAGACACAAAGTCCATGACATGTAGCTGCACTGGTCCCTTTCCCCACCCAGAGAAGCATCCTTGCAGACAACTTACTTGCAGTGAAATAAATACCATCTCCCATTCGTCGTCCCAAAGCTGTGCTATCGATGACATGGTCACCACGGTAGTTATCAAGGTTGTCATCAGGCCAATCTACAACAAATACGAGAGTATTTACGTACTGGAGCCTATCATTATCATAGAAGTTTTACAGATTGGGAAATGGAGAGAGTAAACTTTTGTACGTAATAAATGGCCTAAAACAACTAGCCTTAGGACCCACAGTGAAAGAGGTTGGGCTTGCGTGCTGACCCAGCATAACCTCCCCTTTCCCCCACTGAAGATACAACACTGGGCTAAATAGTCCCAGGAGGGCACATCTCATGGATGATCTCTCACTTTCTTCACACAGTGGCCAATGGCATGGAAAGATCGGGTGATCCGCCCTGCCAACAAACTGGATCAGAAACAGCTTAAATACAGATTGGGTTCTGCCAGGCAATTTCAGGAGATGATCCCAGATTCTCCTGGCCCTGCTGCAACAGCTTGTGATGCACCAGCTCTGTGGGAGGTTGGTGGACTTCGCTCAACTTGACTCTCCAACACTTCTGTTGGGGATAAAACTTGAACACACCCAACAGACAACGAACATCGCACTTCTCAGTAAAGGGTGAACATGTGTGCAAGCAAGGCTGTGCATCCCCATCTCTGAGGTGGTTCAGCACAACTTTGTGCATGGATGTGACTTCACCTGGGTCTGAAACAGCAACAACTGTGCAGTCAGCATCCAAGCCATGTTGGCAGAGCAGTTATAACAGATATTGCAGCTTGAGAAGAGGCTCTGGACGACAGTGGCTGAACTGAGATGGCAGAACAAGACCCAGTCCATCAGCCACTTCCCCCAGCCTCCCTCTCCTTCCACATGGAAGCACTCAGAAGTCTGAGCAGAGCAGTCAGAAAGAAAATGTCACCTCCATTTTGAAGGTAAAAAGTTCAAACCATCAAAAACTGCCATAGAAATAACTCCAGCTCTAAAGACCTAAAATCTAGGCTGGCTGTCAAAAAATAGTTCACCATCCTCCGCCTCTCCATCTGGTATCTCAGTCTCTGCTGTGCCACATGGATTAAAAGGACACTGCTGCGCTGTGCCTCAATCTCATGTACTGTCTAGATCTGAAATCTGTGGGAGACTCGGGCAGAAAAGGCCAACTGATACGTAACTTCTAGGACGCACAGGACATCTTTAGACTGATTTCAGATTTACTTAATACCTTAGACAAGCAAATAAAAAACCCCACATTCCCAACGTTTACAGAAACCACTTTTGTACATAAGGACAGGGTTTCTTTCTAGTTTAGCCCTCGGTTCCCACCTGCTATTCCTCTCCTGGCTGCCCACAGACCAACCTGCCAACAGCATGAGAGGTGTCCGTAGGACAGCAGCAGCTTACCCTGAGCCTCCAACTTTCGGGGAACATGAACAAAGCACATGGGGCAGCAGGAGGGGCCAAGAGATCCAGCTGCCCCAGGTTGAAGAGGATCCCCGAGCCAAGAAGCTGCATTCAAACCACCTGCTAACCCTCAGTAACCCATTTCTGCATATCCAAGGAAGGATGGGATTTCCTTGCCTATTTAAAAGATACCTCCCAGCTACCTATAATGGCAAGCCACACTATTTCAAGATATTTCCTCATTAAGAACTCTGAATTAATAAAGCACAAAGCAATGCATGTGGACAATTGCACCTTGCCACGGGGCCCTGCATGCAGTAGTCATTGTGCTCCCCCATCCTGTGGTCAGACCTCTGGGCCGCCTGCCAGAGTGTTACACCAGCACACAACCGGGACTGAATCTACTTTTCATCCATTTTATATCCCCCAGAGCTGAACTCCAAATTCAGCAGTGACAGAAGACTCTGTCAATTATATTTCTTCAGTATAGCCCTAATTCCCCTTGATGTCGCTGCCCAGTGCAGCCCAGAGGTATCAAGTGTATCTCCATTTCATGATTTCCTCTTCCCATCAGCTCTGATTTATTGCTTCTTACCCTCCCCCACGCATCTCCAACTTGGCTTACGATCCTTAGCTCTTTTTGCAGGATTACAGGAGAAAATTGGAAGGAATCGTGCTATTTGCACATACCAGCCTTTCCCATGTGTTTTAATCTATATTTGAAGGTAATTCAGCATGGTTGCAGAGAAGAATATTAACTTAATCCAGTCTCTTATCTAAACCTCCTTAGAAAGCTGAGGGAGGTGTGGGGAAGGGAAGAGAGAGACAGAGCAATCACATCTGAGGTGTGATTAAAGGTGGACTTTTTTGGAAGAAGGGAAGGAAGGGTGGGTTTCTGTAGGCAAGAACTAACTGATCTCCACCAACACATTCCTCTTCTGGACTTACTCATCCAAACCCACCAGCCACCTGGAGCGTGTCTGAAAAATACCATTTCCCCCGATGAAGAAACATATGTTAGACTCAAGAATCGACAATTTATTTTCCAGCAGCAGTCAGACGGCCCCCACCCCCTCTTTGCTGAAGGTAATTCAGCATGGTTGCAGAGAAGAATATTAACTTAATCCAGTCTCTTATCTAAACCTCCTTAGAAAGCTGAGGGAGGTGTGGGGAAGGGAAGAGGAGCAATGAGCAATCACATCTGAGGTGTGATTAAAGGTGGACTTTTTAGGGAAGGAAGGGTGGGTTTCTGTAGGCAAGAACTAACTGATCTCCACCAACACATTCCTCTTCTGGACTTACTCATCCAAACCCACCAGCCACCTGGAGCGTGTCTGAAAAATACCATTTCCCCCGATGAAGAAACATATGTTAGACTCAAGAATCGACAATTTATTTTCCAGCAGCAGTCAGACGGCCCCCACCCCCTCTTTGCATTGCATCCCCTCCTCCCAGGGAAGCGCAATTTCTACAGTTTCTATACAAAAAAAAGAAAGAGAGGGCAGGGAGGTCTGTGGTCTCCCTGTCCTGGGGGGTGGTACATCTGTTCAGGCTCTGATCCTGCAAGACCTTGTCATGTGCAGAACCACCCATTTCAGGAGGAGCTGTGTATTGGCAGATTCAGGACTGGTCCCTTAATTACCTGTTAGCAGATCGCCAGTTACAACTGAATCCTGCCAAGCCATTTTCTTTGGCACCGTCTCTCCCCGCAGTTTGCTACATACCCTTCCTCTCCCCTTCTGTGCTCCAAGCACCAGATCTGCATCTTCTCTTACATTTCACGGGGAATTTTCTTTCAAACTGCTTTACATACAAATCAGGACCTCCTTGGGTTCCAGCAAACCACAACCTGCATGTTGCACACCCCCAGTTTTAACAACTACATCTTCTCCCAAGGCTTTTCCACAGTCAGTTCCTCCAAGCACACCCTGAAAAGCTTCACATCTGCTCAGCCCCTCCTCCAGGGCTGGGTTCAGCACAGAAAGGAGCACCAGAGAGGTTCATAATGGAGTACCACACTGAGCCGAGACCAAAGTCAAGCTGCTCTAATGACACGGTGTTTCTCAATCTCCAAAAGTGGGCCCCCTGTCAGCAGGTACCCCACAGCATTTCACCAACCACAGAGCAAAGTTATTGTCCCCAGGCTTTTCCTGCCCCTACTGTGCAATTCGCTCAGTCCTCTGAGATGAGGACACACGCACCGCAGACATCTAAAGTTTACGCTCTTTCCAAAAACACCACGAAAGCAAGTACCACATACACCACCTGCTCCTTAGACTCCTGTTTTATTGAGATCCTGCTTCTTTCCAAGCTGAGAAGAGCCATTTACCTTGTGAAGCCAGTGCAGGTTCATTTGCTGTCCCACAGCTATGTGACATAGTGCTAGTATCTGGGAGGAAGAAATCAAGAGTCAGACAATGGCACATCACAACCATCAAGTGTTTGCACGTGCAGGAACACACCACCGCCCCAAAACATAACCCAACAGGCCAGGGCAGAAAGCAGGGCTGGGGTGGGGATGGGTCCAGCAGACAACACCTAGCTCATCTGTACAGACAGATCCTCTCCAAAGCCAAAGACGTGGAAGGAAAGACCGGCCTCCAAGAGGCAAGGAGTTGGAGAGTCTAGTCCATGGCTGCACAGCTCCTGGGATCTCAGGACGCGCTGACTACACGGGGCCAGGTACTGGCATACTACCTCAATGGACACCACCTTGGAGGTCCCAGCACCGTGGGATGAGGGGAAACAACCTGTACTTGTGATTGGCAGATACACCAAAGTGGGGCTGGGGCCATAACTAAGGGAAACAAAAGCTGTATTTCTCCTCAGACCAGCTGCACCGCCAGTATCAGGGTCTCTGTCCTTGCTCTTGATCATCTGAGGTGAAAGACCATGCATTTATTTTAGGTAACTTAAGGCTAAGAGAGAGAGGCTAAGGCTAAGAGTGAAATCACTTCTGAAAGGAGAACTGCTCGAGTCATAGGTGGACTGAAAAGGTCATACCCTTTTTAAAACAAACGCACAAACCTTTAGGAAATGGCATTTTATTCTACTCACCAGTAACACTGTAACGTACGTAAAGCCAGCAGCAGTTGTTACAAGTATTGGAATGGACCAGTCACTCCAATATCCCATTTGGTTATATAAAAACCTGAAAGATAAGTGCGAAGCACAGATTAAGAAGAGATTCAACACCATAGCGACTTCACTAGGATTAGACAAAACTTTAGAAAATGAACCTTTCCATTTCCACCGTACAGACGAGAGAGAGGCAGCAAAAAGAACAAGTCACTCTGAAACAAAATCCAGTGTTTGTGCTTTAATCCCTCGTGGGGAATTAACTCTGCAAAGAGGAATCAATTATGTCAAACACAGCAACAGCGTTACTTGGG